TATATATAGAGAGAGAGAGAGAGAGAGAGAGAGAGAGAGAGAGAGACAGACAGACAGACAGACAGACAGACAGACAGACAGACAGACAGAGATTGACAGAGATAGAGACAGGAATTTACAAGTTTTTTTTCACATGGCTCACATACATAGGGCTTCTCACCTATGTGAGTTCTTTCACGTCTTTGACAAAACTGGTGTGTGGTGAATGCCTTTCCACACTACTTGCACACATAAGGTTACTCCCATGTGACATTTTTCATGTATGCTATAAGAACTCTTTGTAATAAATGATTTTCCACATTCTTTGCACATAAAAGGTTTGTCTCCAGTGTGAATTTTTCCATGTATGTTATAGTAACTCTTTGTTGAAAATGCTTTTCCACATTGCCTACACACAAAAGGTTTCTCCCCTGTGTGAGTTCTTTCATGAATTTTATAAGAACTCTTTGAAATGAATGCTTTTCCACATTCCTTGCACACATAAGGTTTCTCCCCAGTATGAGCTTTTTCATGTCTCTGACAATATTCATGTGTAATAAAAGCCTTCCCACATTGCTTGCATACAAAAGGTTTCTCCCCTGTATGTCTTTTTCCATGGATATTGTAATAACTCCTTCTAGTGAATGCTTTTCCACATTCCTTGCACACATAAGGCTTCTCCCCAGAGTGCAGTCTTTCATGCATTTGACAGGATTGGTGTGTAGTGAATGCCTTCCCACACTCCTTGCACACATAAGGTTTCTCCCCTGTATGAGTTCTTTCATGTATATTACATGAACTCTTTGTAATAAATGCTTTTCCACATACTTTGCACACATGAGGTTTCTCTGCACTGTGAGTTCTTTCATGTCTTTGACAATATTCATGTGTAGTGAACGCCTTCCCACATTGCTTGCAGGCATAGGGTCTCTCCCCAGTGTGGATTTTTTCATGTATATTATAAGAACTCTTTCTAGTGAAGGCCTTTCCACATTCTTTGCATACATAAGGTTTCTCCCTAGTGTGAGTTCTTTGATGTATTTGACAATACTGATGTGTACTGAATGCTTTTCCACATTCCTTGCACACATAAGGCTTCTCCCCGGTGTGAGTTCTTTCATGTATTTGACAATAATGGTGTGTAGTGAATGCTTTTCCACATACCTTGCACACATAAGGCTTCTCCCCAGTGTGAGTTCTTTCATGTCTCTGACAATATTGGTTTGTAGTGAATTGTTTTCCACATTGCATACACATATAAGGTTTCTCGCCACTATGAATTCTTTCATGTCTATGACAATCCCTGGGTGTAGGGAATGCCTTCCCACATTGCTTGCAAACATAAGGTTTATCTCCTATATGAATTTTTCCATGCATGTTATAAGAACTCTTTGTAGTAAATGCTTTTCCACACTGCTTGCACACATAAGGTTTCTCCCCTGTGTGACTTTTTTCATGTATTTTATAAGAACTCTTTGTAGTGAATGCTTTTCCACATTCCTTGCACATAAAAGGTTTCTCTCCAGTATGAGATCTTTCATGTATTTGACAAATACGTTGTGTAGTGAATGCTTTCCCACATTGTTTACATACATAAGGTTTCTCCCCACTGTGAGTTCTTTCATGTCTTTGGCAGTGACTATGTCTACTGAATGCTTTCCCACACTCTTTACATACATAAGATTTCTCCCCAGTGTGAATTTTTTCATGGCGTTGACAGGTAATATGTACGCGGAATGCTTTTCCACACTGCTTACATACATAGGGTTTCTCCCCAGTGTGAATTCTTTCATGTATTTTACAGTGAGTCTGTGTGCTGAATGCTTTCCCACATTGCTTACATGCATAGGGTTTTTCTCCAATGTGAATCCTTTCATGTATTTTACAGGTAATCCGCATAGTGAATGCTTTTCCACATTGCTTGCAGACATAAGGTTTTTCTCCTGTGTGAATCTTTTCGTGTATTTTATAATAATACTTTGTAGTAAATCCTTTTCCACAGTGCTTACATACATATTGTTTCTCCCCAGTATGAATTCTTTTATGTCTTTGACAATTACTGTGCGAGCTAAATACTTTCCCACACTGCTTACATACATAGGGTTTCTCTTCCATGTGAAATCTTTCATGAATTTTGCAACATCTTTGAGTTTTGAAAGATTTTCCACATTTCTTGCATACATATGATTTCTTACCAGTGTATATACTTTCATGGATTTGTACACCACTGGGAGCCATGGATAATTTCACACTATTCTTACATACAGGAGTATTTTCTTCAGGGTGAGTTCTTTCACCACATTCAGAGTACGTTTTCCCACACTGCTCATATTGGTCAAGTTTCTCTACAGTCTTTGTCACTGAATGTTTCAGAAATAACTGAAAATCATTGCAGCTTTCTCCATGTTCATTGAATTTACTCAGCTTATCCTCCAATCCCAAATACTCATCTGGCTTCAGGCCAACATGAGGTAAAATGGGCACATTTTGTGATAAATGTCCAATCAGCTGTCTTCTACAAGTAAGGTTTTCAGCCGGTTTTAAACAAGTTTGTTGAATGTCCAGATTAGCATCTGGAGTCCAAAGGAAAACATTTCCATATTGATTCCAAGATTTATATTGATACCATTTTGCCACCTCTTCATTACTGTAAAGAAAAAAAAGAACAGGATTTTTTTTTTTTGGGCTGGCTCAGGCTGCCTTAAGTGTAGGTCTGGTAAGACAGGTGGAGCTGAGGATCGAACCAGGGTCCCCTGCAGCAGATTGGGTTTGCCCAAGGAGGCAAACAACTGAGCTAACCCACAAGCCTATATATATATTTTTTTTTCAGCTATATATACAGCTATTTTCTCTTAGTTCACTGAGAATGCAAGTTTGTATTAATATTGTTTAGACAAGATATCATGTCTGCATCTTGTCCTCCAAATAGGTACTATGAAGACAACAATATGTAATGCATTAATTATAGTAAACATCCTACTAACTTGTTTTGAAACTGTTTCATTGCTATTCTTTTTTCTAATTAAAATGAATAAAAATTATAATAAAAAAAGAAAAAAAGAACAAAAACATCAATCCCCAGTAAAGGTCTCTTTATCAATAATTTAGCAGGACAGGTTTTGGTTTGATGCCTTCTAAAATTTTATGGGAATGAATTGGCTGAATGCCCTGGGGGTACCTTAAAAACACAAATTCCCCAAAGGATGGTATTCATTTGTGAATTTTAAGTTGATAAATACTTGCAATGGATAAGGTCTAGCTTCATTATATCACTGACACATGGGGATTACACATTGATGATTTTCTTATTCCCTCTTTCCCATCACGCTTCCCTTCTTTCCTTATCCTGTTCATCTTTCCTTCAACAAGCAATCTTTCCATTGTCTATCATTTCTTAATTTTATTCCCTAATTTAAATTTTGATATCTCACATAAAACATTTAATAATTTACATTATTCATCTGACTTATTTAACATTATGATGGGCTGAAGAGATAGCTCAGTGGACTAAAGTGCCTACTTCCCTTGCACTTGCCAGTCAAGCACTTATTCTACTGAGCTATATGACCGGCCCCCATTCTTTTTTTTTTCCATCATTTTATTGAGAAATAAATAGCAATGAGACAGTTTCAAATCAAATTGGTAGGACAGTTCCAATAATTAACACATTGCATACTGCCTTCCTAGTTGTTATTTGTTGTACAAGATGCAGACATGATATCCTATTTACAAGCACAATTACAACAAATCCCTCTATTCCTTGAATTGAGAGAATGTAGTTATATATCTATTCTAACCATTTTGAATACAAAGATGCAAGATGGTCATTCATCTATATCCCCTTTTTTTAGTTCCATCATTTAAATATTATAGGTGTGTGGACCCCATTATTAATTTCTTATAATGTTTGTTTTCTTTTTCTTACTATCTCCAACTTTACATTCATCTAGTAACGTGAACAACTAAGTTGAAGACAACACTATGCAATACAATAAACTGTTGAATTCATATTTTAAAAAAAAGCATAAAAAAATGAAGTGCCTGCTTAGGCAAGCTTAGACCAGCTCAGGGACTGGCGTTTGATCCAAGGCACCACATGCCATGCCAGCCTGGCCCCCAGCATGGGCTGAGCCAGCCACAGAGTCTGGGCATAGTGGCCTAGGCCTGTAATCCCAGAGCTGGGAAGGCTGAAAACAGGAGGATCACTATGAGTCCAAGATGGGTAGTAAGTCCCTGTAACAGACACATACATTTAAAAAAAATGTATATGTATATATACATATATGATGTGTCTGATATGTTTGTTTCTTTTCTTTGTCGAAAAACATATTCTTGGGGGCTGGTGAGATGGCTCAGTGGTCTAAAGCACCTACTTAGAACAAGCTTAGCAAAACACAGGGACCGCAGTTCAATCCC